TAAAATTATTACCCAAACCATATCAGTATGAATATGTCAAATAATAACGACAACGAATATAATGATAATCCACTTTCACAAATTCGCCCGCCACACCCTCCAACTCTACATTCAAGAGAACTGTTACGAACCCATTTATTTAAAAGTTCAAAAAATGCCAAATCGGCGTACATAGTTGCATACTTAAAAGTGCTTAGCACACCCTCAGCATCAGCTATAGTTGCGACATACAAGACAAAAATTACTATGGCAAGAAATGCATGGGATCAAGAACCAAATAATGTTCGGCAGGCATATAAAAAGTTAGCTGATGAGACTAGGTCGATTATGAGGCGGAGAAATGCTGCAGAAACAACAATGAATCAGAGTTAACTGCTTTAGTTAGTGTCGTCAGCTGACATAATTCAATACTAAGTACGGACTTAGTAATTTTATAAGTCCAATGGTCCAGTCCAGTAACTTCTGATTACTGAAGTGACAACGCTGCGAAATTAAAATGCAATGACCTGGTTCTACATCAAGTACCTTCAATGATTAAAATATGCAAGTTATATTAATATGTTTGATCAAGAAAGATGCATAAGAAATTTTTAAGAATTAAGAAATATGTTTTTAAGATTTAAGAAAAAGTTTATTAGACTGAATAGTTTGATTATATTATTATAATAACCTTAAATAATTTGATCAAATATAAATTAACTTTTTATTGCAGTTTTTAAAGTATCTTATTTTTAATAAATTATCATATTATATAAAGTGATAAGAGGCAAACTTTTTAAAGAATATAATGATAAAATTTTGCAAGCTTCTAACATTCTCTACAATAAATACGTTATTTATGGTGTGCACTGTAAATCCCTTTTCATAAGAACACATAAATTTAATGAGTCTCTTGAAATTACAAAGTAAGCCCAAAGAAGTTACGTATGGCCAAAAAATTAATGCATTTGTATTTAGACTGTCATGTATTATATAACTCATATATGCTATATGTAATATTAAATGAAAATGGTTTGACGAATTTATGGGGAAAAAAGGGTGGGAAGTAGAAGTGGGATTAGAATTCATTGGCCAACACTAATACTATCTACCAGTACTAACTCTTAGCTTCACGCACGTACTCTTACTCTAATGTTAACTCTATGTGCATACACTTACTTCATCTTTATGTACATATATAAAGTTGATTGATGCGATAAATTTCGGAATTTGTAATGTCATAATTTTTACTGTTAGATTTTGGTATTTCGGATTTTTGAAACAGGATTTTGTTTGTCAGGTTTATCCGTTTTCGGGATTGAGATTGCTAGGACTTTGGACGGCACCTCTCTTTGAAATAGTGACATTTTTCAATTTTTGCTATATGTTTCGACCCATCGTTAAATCGAGGTCTGATTGTATTTTAGTTAGAATTCCCTCCAACATTAAATGCTTATTTTAATGGAAAGAAATCATCATTTTTGTGAATTGGCTAAATTAACGATCAATTACTATATATCGATATGGTACAGTGGCTTACAACCTGTCAATATCGAACATATTCATTTTAAACCTCAAAACCTCTAGTATTTGTAGCCATTTTTGTGAAAGTGAATAATTTGAATCCGACCAACAAAAATTTTTTCTAAGACAAAAACCTAATTTGGTCACTAATTGAAAATGCGCTATTCTATGAAATAGAGGTCCGAATCGTTCAATTCAAGATCAATTTAAATCAATTCGGATGAGTAATTCGATCTACGGATCACCTGATTGTTCAAAATATTGGATCATTTAAAGTATCGGATCATTTGAATAGTTGGGTTAGTTAGCCGCCCCAAAAAATGTATTCTCAGATCTGTCACGGTGTAAAAACATGTGCTTAGCATGACGTTAAACGTGATTCGCTTGCTACTTGAATAATTCGGATCTGAATTAACTCCCAATTTTATAATTCGATTATCCGAATTACTCTTTTATCCGACCAAATTTGATTCAAATCGGATAATCGATATATGTGGTCGATTGAATAAATAATGAAAGATTCGGACCTCTACTATGAAATCTATCTATATATACATTTAATAAATTTATCGAGATGTAAGCTTCGGAAATTCAAATTTTAATTAGGAAAAAAATAGTTTTTACTAATTAAAATTTGGACCTTCGGGGTAATGTACTGATTTATATGAAAATTGGTATTAGTTAAGATTCATAGAGTAGAACATTTTTAATTAGTAGCCCAAATTAGGATTTTGTCTTAGAAAAAAGTTTACGTAGGTCAAACTAATTGAAAATTTGATTTTTATTTGAATCAATATTGACAGAGATCGAGTCTCTTTAACGCGCGTTAGCGTTAGGCATTTTGTGATCTGTACAATCCTTGGAGACTGTATGATATCCAATACTGCACCATGATGCCAATTTTGAATTATAGATTTTATATATAATAAGCAATATGACCAATCAGAACTCTTTATTTTTATAATCTAATATTAGTAAACGCCAAAATTATAATTTCACAAATTTATATCTAAAGAAAATTAAAAAAATTAACCAGATCATAGAAAACTATTAGTTTGTTAAATTATTTTTTTATATTATCTTTTTAAGTTATAACACTTAATATGATGCCATCTAAAGTGGAGATCCACTAAAGCCAGGTAGTTACTCATATAATCCGATCCGGATTGCAATCATGTGACCAAAATTGAATAGCCAATAAAATACTAGTGTTGGCTCACCAGTGACAATGAACTTTAACATTCTTTGAATAACCCACACTAAAAGTACTAATCATAAAGTTGGCAAGCAATTTTACAGTGTTTCTGATTGACAGCAAAAATAAACTGATCAATTAAAAATTTATTTGATTGTTGTTGAATCGATTTTTCAAGATCACTTTCATCCAAAGACTCACATTTCATATTAAATATCAATGAAAAGCATCAAATACTCACCAAAGAACCCACTGGATTTAGTCACGATGAAACCAACACGGAGAAACCGGACATCCGGGAAACTCTTACCAATCATAGCCAACACTGGCGATCTCAGAAAAATGCCAAGAAAAATCTGTCAACTTTGGACACTTATATTTCTCTCAATATCCAACAAATTTTTGTGATCTGGATACAGAGAATGTTCAGCTTGATTAGACAGATCAAGCGAATCTGAGTTCGCAAAATTCTGAATACAGATCAATGATATTGTTACCTCACGATCTGTACAGCATTTTGCGATTTTTCATGCGTTAACTTTGGATACCAATATCTTCACCCAATTTTGTTGATATAAATGCAAAAATATTTAGGACAATAGATCGTAAAGATCTGATCTTGTGTTTCAGAGATATGGGCGTTTAATGATGCCATACAGACCTGGTGCGAAACCAAACCGGAAACCAGTGAAATTAGCGACGGCACCCACGAAATGAAGAAACTAGATGTCCACCAATAAAAAAAACGCCAAATATTCACACTCAGGAAACTCAGTATGAAACAAACTGGAAACCGGTCGCGTAAGTTGTTAATTGTTAGAAGTGAGTTGGCTGCCATTTTCGTTTCGCTGGTGTTGCGAATTTCTCCAGGTCACGAGCAGTTTCCAATTTGATTTCACGCCAATGGTGTTGTTAGTGAGTATTCAACGCTTCTTTTCATTGGTGAGGGTCCCAGCCAGAGTTTTTGCTGGGCCAAACCACAAAACAAAAGTCATTTGTTTTGATAGCGATGGTGTTATGCAGAATTCAGCCAATCATTGAATGTGTTTTAAGTCAATCTGGATAATTATAAGATTATCCGAGTTGACTTAATCCTTAATTCACTACCTTGCTTTAGTGTTCCCCTAAAAGTGGATACCTTATACTGTATTACACAGATTGTGTCGATCAATTGAATTCGATATCTGAAATATGCATTGCTGACATGAATGTTTTTCGAATGGCCTCACGTTTCAGATCTACCATTCAAACATTTTTTTCTCCAATAAGTTAATTAACTAATTTGGATAACAAGAAATTAATCTGACCGAAAGTAAAGTAATATGAATATTTTCTAGTATGACAAAACAAACGCCAAATTCTAAAAAGTAAATTTAATATTGACTTTGTTTTTAAAAACGTTGTAAAGATATCCCGTACAAGAACCCGAATTTCAGATATGCTTTTGCGTGTGATTGTGTGCGCCGTTCAAGATATTGATTTTGTTTGCAGATTCACATTATAATTTGGTGTCTTGTATTAAGGTTGGTGTTTATGCAGATTTTGTGCTATTTGCTTGCAGATAAGGGAATTGATTGGATAGCGCATATGCATTGTCTGAATCATCGAACCAATTTACTCACCATTGAAATTCGGACCAGATGCATCCTCCAACAAGATTATAAAATGATAGAACTCGGAAGCGACGAAAACCATGATTTTTATTTCTTTTCATATATAAACTCGCTTATATATCTCTTGATAAAAGTCTTGTTTTTATTTCATTTTCTTTAATAAGAGCGTATAATGAACCAGCAAACTAATCACCTGCAACAGAGAGGACTAATAGCCCGAGGACATTTGCAGCAAAATCAACAATTACCAATACAACAGCAAAATCAACGATTACTAATACAACAGCAAAATCAACGATTACCAATACAACAGCAACCTTCTAATGAAAATATGGTTGAAATTATGCTGAATGGAACTTCAAATATTTTCAACTACGATTTTACTTCAGAAAATCAAAGAGACAACAATATTACGAGTGTTCTCTTCGATGCATATCGTCAATAAACCTGAATAACTTATTTCTAATTCTCAATAATTATATTTCTTTTGATATTTGTTAATATACATGCAATTTTTTTTCACTTCTTGCGCGTATTTCTTCCCGAATAACATTTGATACTACGTACGTACTCGCGAAAATTAATTATTTACAACAATGATATCCTGCATATTTCACCGTCATTAAACTTTCTCCACCCTATTCTCCAATAATGAAGCAAGAGTTCATTATCACTATCGTCAACATCATTAACGTTCCTCAAGTAACATATCGCTCCTTTCACGCGTTCCAGTTTATTGAAAAATTAAGAATAAAGTAATTAATTAATTATATCGAGCAAGTTTATTTCTCAAGAGATGCAAACTCATCATTCTTATTAGATACACGTATTTACCAATATCATTAGATATTTACCGTGCAGTACCTTCTCCTGTAGAAAATTTAAACTTTAATTTAGTCCGTAAAATCAATTGTTTTTCTGCCAAGTGAATAATTCTAATTCTATGGTGCAGTTTTTTCAAAATTCTTTTTACTAAAAGAATGGGAGGTTAAATTAAGTGGTGCGGGGGGGGTGTTACTGTATGCAATGCTGTACGATACATAACTTCAAAATCTCGCTAG